CAAATTCAGCCCGCTTCCACCGTCCATCAGCACTTTTGTCAGTCGAGTGCCTTCGACAACTGGATAGACCACCAAAGCTTGCCTCCCAGGGGTGGCAATATGAGTCGGGTGATCAGATTGGTCGAATGTGATGGGTATTTGAGACCATTTCAGATAATTTGCTTTTGCTGGGGCAACCATGTTCACCTCTCGGTTAATGACTTTCAGTCGACTCCTGCTTTCCACATCTGCAAAGATCATCAGAGTGGAGTTGATATGCGGATATCCTTCCTCACTGTCCTCCTTATCTTCGGCCTTGTCCGACTCCTTCTCCTTGTCCTTAGACTGTTTTCCCTGAAACTGCTGGATCAGGAGTCGACATTGGCGAGTGGTGTGCTTCGGGTAGATGATATTCCCCTCTTCGTCTTTCTTCGTGTGGATGTGACATGGCATATCCATTACGTCGTTCCCTTCTTTATCCTTTACCTTCTTGGGGTTCCAGGATCCTTTTGGTTTCCCCTTAAACTTTCCCTGAGTCACGGCCAGAGCCTCTCCAGGAGTTGCCGGTTCAGCCTTCCGCTTCTGTTTCCGACTGGTGTTTCCTTTTTCCGACTGACTCGGCTTGTGTTTGCCGCTTCGGAGTCGGTCTTCTTCTTCGCCGTTGGCGTACTTGGTAGCAATCTCCATCATCTGACTCAAGGTCATGTCACCGGTTCGACCAAACTTCAAACTCAGTTCTCTGTTCTTGACGCCATCTTTGAAGGCGCAGACTGCCTGATGATCGGACCTCTGAATATACTCTCTGAGAGTCTCATTAGCCTTCTGCACGCAGACTTGCAACTCTGTCAATCCAGCTGGTCGCTTGCAAGTTCCTTCAAACGTTCTGATGAACACTCGGGACAGATCTTCCCAAGTGTAAATGCTGCTAGGAGGTAATTGAGTCAACCATGCCCTGGCAGAACCTTCCAGCATGAGGGGCAAATGCTTCATGGCCACCTCGTCGTTCCCACCACCAATCTGAACTGCCACTCGGTAATCTTCAAGCCAAGTTTCAGGCTTAGACTCACCAGTGAACTTGCTGACTCCTGTTGCCAACCTGAAATTGGGAGGGATAACTGCGGCTCTGATAGCTCTGCTGAAACATTCAGGACCAGAAACATGCACTCGACTGCTTGTGGGTGCATCTCTGTCGAGTCCGCCTCGATGGGCTCTGTTCCGGTCGACCAAACCTTGCACGATAATGGATCGCGCGTCGAAGCCTGGTTCTCTGGGGTCGACTGGAACCCTTCGCCCTGTACTGAACTGACGCCTGTCATCTTGCTGCCGAGGAGCGTAAGACCCACCCCTTGGAGGGGAATGGGGCACTCGACGCCTATCATCTCGGTCGAGTCGGTCACCATATTGGCCTCGCCGATTCTCGTGCCCCTCACGCCGCGGAGGCGATCTGGGACTGTGAGCCGACTGAACTGTATTCGCAGTGACGGATCGACTGTGAATTCTGTTGCGCGACTGAGACACGGCTGAATTCTGGTCTCCTGCTGCCCGGAGCAGATCCCTGATCTGCATCAAACCTCTGCCAGCTTCTGACTGAGAAGGCTGGATGGACTCTGCTATACAGGTCGCAGCTGCTAAATTCTGGATTGGGGTTCGATATACCTGAGTCGGAGGGAAGAGTTGACGTCGACTGGTGTCGGGAACTCGTTGCCGCGCGTGCTCGTCGAGTGCTCACTGAAGATTCTCCAGTTGAGTGCGCTCGGCCAAATTGGCCAGACGTGCCTCCTCCAAGGCACGAGCCTCGGGGGTTTCTCCTGCGATGGGAGTATGCAGGGCATCCACGTTCCTGCGGCGAAGTTCCTCTCTTTGCAGAGAGTCGAGTGGCTCGGGCTGGTACTCTTCGTGGCCTCGTGCGGGGTCGCCTCCGTCACCTGCTCCATCATCACGGGCGAAGCCAGGGGGACTGCGGGGCCCGTCGACCATCAAGATTTCCGCCGCTGGATCACTGCTATCGCACTCGGATGCAGTCTCTACGGAGCCCGTCGACAGATCGAACAAGCCGTAGAGAGATTCGTCGGGCTCGATTGCCGCAACTTGGATGGTGGCCGATTGGCGAGCCACCGCGTGCCTCACCCATCGCTGAAGCCTCAACCGGCCCGAGCGCTTGCGCTGGCGGGAGACCGGGAGGGTGGACGATGGAGGAGCCGACCGATACGGAGTCGACGGTTGCCGCAGCAGAACGCCACGGACACATGCGCGAAAATGCATCGCACCGCGGACGGGAAGCGCATCAACGTCGAGTGGAGCCTCCTGGAGCCACGCGGAGTCGTCGGCGATGAAGGTGAGAGTGCCGAGAAGGATCTCTCGACCCTCGACCAAAACTCCAGCAGACACCATGATGAAAGTACTCGGAAGAATCGCAACTTCTCCACAAAATCGCTAAAACACCTGCCCCACGGTGGGCGCCAACTGTCGTGGTTCTAAGCCTGACAGTAGAGTGGGGGGTAGGTATGGAGAGGCAAGGTCCTAGCTATGGAGAGGTTGTAAACACAAGGGATGTACGAGTTCAGGCCCTTCTCGGAAGAAGTAATAGCCCTACGTCTCGGAGCCCGGAGGCGGTCGAGTGGATTATGAGTATATGAGTTACAAGGTCCCGAACCCCTCTACCTGTGGAGGGGGGTGGCTTATATAGAGTGCGCCAGGACCCCAGCCAGCCCACGTAGGAGAAGGTTTAAGGTGAGTTAAGTCTGGGGCGTTACTGGTAACGCCCCACATAAAGTGTCTTTACTATCATAAAGCCTACTTAATTACAGGCCGTTGCAGTGCAGAGTGCCTCTCCTGGTGGTCGAGTGAGTCTTCATGGTCGAGTCCTTCAAGTCAGTCGAGTGAGTCCCTCGTTGGTCGACTGGAAGGCGACCTCTTGTAAGGGTGTCCTTGGGCAAGGTACTTAGATCAGGTCCATGACCCTACCCTAGGTACATGACCCCATCACGGGGCACGGTCGTAGTCGCCGCTCACCGGCCTGTCGGCGAGCATGCCATGGATGACGTCGTGGCAGACCTCGTAGTTCAGGAAGACGGCAGGGTCCTGCGACCTCGACATGGTGGTCGAACGGCGCCTGGTCGTCGAACGAGACGTCGATGCTCCATCCTGCCGGCGAGTTCGCGTGGGTCCAGATCCTGTGCCTCCTGTGCGACACAACCACGTCACGGTGAATGCGCAGGGAGCTCGGGAGATGGGTCGGCTTGCGGTGGTGGAAGACGCGCAGGAGAACTCTCCTACAGCCGTAGACGTGCGTCTCCGTGACCTCCACTGCATGCGGCCACGGTGGCAACACCATGGCGCCCGCGCGCGCTGCTCTCTCTCTCTCTCTCTCAGGAAACGAAATGAGCTCTTCACCATGGCGGATCGTCGGACGCTATTTCTTATAGGCGAATGAAGGAAGGCACGCACATGACCAGCTGTAAACGAAGAAATCTGGTTTCCTAATCGAAACCGAAAGTGGGCCCACTGCCTGTGACCCGGAAGATTAATGTATGACTAGCTTGAAGACTTTCCGTTTTGCTCCCTGTTAATTAATGTTGGTGAAGGCTGGATACAGTTTAGAGACAAACCAAAAATTGTGAGCTTTCATTTGCTGCCCTAGGGCATCATAAACTGATGTGCAGGGCAAAATGGAAAATATAACCAAAAAGGAACAAATTCAAATAGTAAACTCTCCGCGAAAGTATTTCACATAACTAAATCTTCAGGTAGCGCCCAACGCTAGGCACTATGTGTTGTGTCGTAGCGCCATTCTGGTAGGCGCTATATACCTAACCATATGTAATAATGTAGTCAATACATTTTTTGTAAGATGGTCATGTGATTAAAAGGTGTTCAATTTTTTTAAATGTTCATGTAATAAAAAAATCGTGCATCACAGAATAATGTAATTAAAAAAGTGTGAGACACAATCTTTAAAAATCATATAATTACAGATTTCTTGAATGGGACGCTCAGCGGTTTGGTGGTCTAAGAGGGGATTAGATGGGACGAGCGGGTGACATGAGATGTGAAGGCGATGGAGTGAAATTATGGGCCATGCGGTACTGGGAAAGTACCAGGGGAGTTTCAACCCCCGTTGTACGAGGAAGTTGGAGCGTTTTTTTGTGATGAAGTATTGGAGCAATAACTGTTTTTCTATGGTTTTAGTGGTAAGGCGGTGCGCTTGCTGGCATTTCCTTCCCGTCGGCCGCTGTAGGATGCACTATATATGTAGCATAAGTTACTGTGAATTGTTTGGCACGGTACATCTATCGTTATTTTATTCTTTGAATCTTGAAAATAGATGACAAAAATTAGTTTGAAAAAACGATGAATAAAGAGAAGCCTTTATGTGTCTCTAAAATGGAAGTAGGTATGCGCGGACATTTGGATATGCCTTTTACATGTACCCTAGAGAATTGAACAGATAATGATCTGCGTCCATATAAGGTAATTTGTTAGAAGAACATATTTTCCCGATATACTCAGTCGCCGACCTGCTCTATTACCCTATTTCCTGATATACACAACCTTAAAATTTTCGAAGAAGTGGTAAAGCTCATCCAGACCCAGGCACACACAGCCGCGGCTCTATTGCCCTTTCTGGCTTGTGAAGTCCAAACCCTAGAATTCCGGATTCTTCCACACCCGCCACTCAGACAGCGGCCTCCGTTTCAGCAATCTGTCCAGGGGAGCCGCCCCTCTGGTCGACGCTTCGCTCCCTTTCCTTCGCGGGAGCTACGCTAGGGTCAAGCTCAAACAATGCAGCAGCAGCCTTCTCCTCTACAAATGCTGGGAATCGCAAGAAGACGTGGAATGTGATTACATTGTGTGCAATCCTATGACGAGGCAGTGGACCGTGTTGCCTCCTATAGTATGGCAGGATGAAGAGGATGGTGAACCTGCGCACGTGAAAGTGGCACAGCCCTTCCTCGCTTTTTTTGACATGGCCGTTCCGTTCCGCTTTGTGGTGTTTACACCCCTGGTAGAGTTGCACGACGATGTGGCGATATACTCGTCGAAAACCGGGCGATGGAATTGGAACAACTGTAGTGGGGGGTACCAGAGTATCCTTCTTTTACTGCTGAATGTGCCTTCGTGAATGGCATGATGCATTTTATATATTTGGTGATCCAGGAACCTATTATAGCTGCAGTGGACTCAAAGGGGATGTTTGTGGGGAAATTGCTCTCCCCGAAGGAATGGAAGAAGCCAGGTCTGGTTATAGCTCAATCGGATACTCTCAGGGGAAATTGCATGCTTGGTATATGGTTCCTTATTATTACCAACTCTCTGTGTGGGTACTTGAGGATTATGCTAGTGAAGTGTGGACCCTAAAGCATACTATTGAAGTTCCCCAAATGTTTGGAAGGGAATATGCGAGAGAGTATTGTGACAAAGAGGACAAGACCTTTATAGATGAGATGTTTGCAATTCATCCGGATCGTAATTTGATTTTCCTTACTGACTCGAAGGAGGTGAATCTGTGATATGGATAGCAGGGAACTGCAGCATATTTGCACTTCTGGAGATTTCATGTGTGGTTTACCTTATATTCCCTGTTTCGCGGATATGGTTGACGGATGATTGCTGAAAGTCCTTGCTGCTTCATGCATTTAACATGGTGGCACAAATGCCTTTGTAAAAACTAGTCGTTGGGTGTGCGTGTGTATGCCTAATGGACTAGTTCTGTGGCAGCAGTCCAAAACGGGCTCTTCAGGTGCATGCCCTTTTGTGGCTTTGAGCAATGTTGGTTAGCTTTACATATTTTGTAAGAGACAAGCGATGCAATGGATAATGCCTAGTTGTATGAATGACAGTCCCTTATATATTTGCTTTTAGGTAATACTAGTTGCTGTTGTCACTTGATATCTGTTATTGGTGGCTGAATGTAAACAGATGTTAGTTTCATTTATGAATCCTTCATGGCCTTCCATCGATGACGTCAAATAATATGGAGCTCTTTATATGGAACTCCTTTTATATAGATTGCACAATATGCAGCCTAACATATCTAATGAACATCATTATTTTTCATTATTTTATTCGGTAGAGAAAACAAAATAATTATGTTTGTTACCAAGACTAATTAAGCGCTCTTAAGTCTGCTGTTCGTTGCCTACTACTTAAGCACACCTGGTGTGCTCCTAATCTTGTGTTTTGATTGAGTTTTCCATCAGATCATGACCAATATTTTCCTACTAGAATTCTTACTATATTGTTGAATTTCTAGGCTGTTGTCAAACTAAACCTTCCGATTTTTGTTGACCATGATATAGCTTAGTACATAATTTTGTCGTCAACTACCCAACATTCTGAACTTTGTATTGAGTGCACATTGAATCCTGAACTTCTCACCCTGAGTGGCTCTTTGTCAGGGACCAGCAAAACTAAACCTATTCGAATTTTTTGTTGTCCCCAAAGGTTGTGAACTTCTCACTCTGAGTGGGTCTTTGCCAGAGACCGGCAAAATTAAATTGGTAAGGAAAAACAAAGCTATGCTTAATCAGGCATGACTTGTAAGTCTAGCAAAGGTTACTGCACGTTTGGATTCTGGGCAAGCGCTTGCCTTCCCTCGCAAACAAAAGAAGCGAGGGGTTCGATTCTCCGGCAACTCATCTCGTTACCCGCAGTTTCAAGTTTTTTCCTCGTCTGTGTGAGCAAGCCAATTTGGCTACCATCCGTTGGCAAGGATTTCCTTGCCCAGCGAGGTGAGCAGGCGAGAGATCCAAAGTCGCTAATTTGTTACTAGAAGCTGAGCTTTTATCACCATTCCTTAAAATAAATATCAACATCATATCAAGGTTTTCGAGTCGATGAGTCGACGACTCATTCTGTTAGCGACTCTTGACCAGTCGTGCCATGCCGATCGACTAGTCGAGATATTTGAGTCGACTTCTAGTTACGACTCATTGACTAGTCGTTCGACTCAAAAACAGGGCATCAGATAAGTTATGCTGCTCCTGTCAGTTATTCCAAAATAGTAATATGGACCTGCCATCTCTAGATAGTATGTACTACCTTCTCCTATTGCACCCAAAGTCACTGGTGTTGGCTTAAAATGATGTATCACTATATTACATAGCATTACTGGTCACTACTCACTTCGGTTCCTATAACTATCTTTGGCCACGTTCCTACCCTTGATGAGACGGAAAGATGCCGTAACAGGCGATGTGGAATCTGCCTACGAATGAAGAGTGTGAGTATAGGCATAGATTCCTTTTAAATATTCCAGGCTCCCACGGGTAGCTCTGCTAAGCCTGCTAATCAAACTTCTGTTATAAGACCTTGCGAAAATCTGTATGGGCTAGTTTTTTTTTTTAGAACGAAGAAGCACAAAAGCGTCCGGCTTTAAATTAATAAAGCCACAACAGGCAGCGTACCAACACATCAAGTCATATTACAACACCACATACCTACCCGGCAAGCGCAAAAGGATCATCGAAAGTCTCCGGGCCGACTCAAAACGAACCATAGACGAGATTACAAGGCACAACCCGTACAAAGCGCGCAGGCTCGTCAAGCATCAAAAGGGACCATGGACGCACACCATAATCAAGACTCCCTAGCCATCACATACACTTTCAGCAAACGTTGTTGGGCGTTGTTGATCAGCTCAGTATCCCATGCGCCTCCCCAACGGACTCCACTGCTGCAATAGAAGGTTACATTTGAAGAGGATGTTAGCCGGATGCGAAGGAAAGCAACCCTCAATAGTGAATTTGTTCCTAGTTGGCCACATAGCCCAGAGTAGTGCCCCTGCACAACTCCACATCACCCGTTTAGCACTCCCATGAATCGAGTCTAAAAGATGAGACAGCTCCGCGGCCGATCTAGGGTCCCACTGAACTCCAGCAGCGGTCCGGACCGCACTCCATGCAAATCTAGCAAGGGGACAATTGAAGAACACGTGGTTGGCGTCCTCTGGCTCCCCACACAGCGCACAGGGGCCGGTGGCCGGCCGGTTACGTTTGGCCACATGCAATGAGGTCGGCAGCTTATCACGAAAAAGTTGCCACATGAAGAGTTTGATCTTCTAGGGCAACCACGCTTTCCAAAGCCCGATGTTCGCCTGCTGTGCTGTCCCTCGGCACAACTTGCGGTATAAGGAGTTCACCGAAAACTTGCCGGAACTGGTGAGTATCTAGCTCACCGTGTCCGGTTCGTTCGAAAGGGAAATCGGGTTAATGAGACGCAGCAAAGCCGAAAAAATGGGCATCTCTGACCCGTTAAGTT